TATTCTGGTAAAAGAAGAGAAATGGAAGGTGTTTTGAAGACAAAATCAGATCAGTCCATGATGTGAAATGGAACTGCCTGGAAACTTTAGTTTTTTGGTGTAAACAGAACTGTATAGAGGAAATAGAGGAGTTAGTAGAATTTCTAGGAGCTTTGTAAAGATAGAGTCTACTTGCTTTGTAACTTGTTTCTGATGGTGGCCAGCATTCCCAATGCTGAAGAATACAACATTACTAATCCTCAAAAGAAATTGAACAGGTTCTGTTCCTACTACAGAAAACCTTATTTATTTATTTTCCTTTCCCAATGTAGTTGGTGTACTGGGACTATACAGCAACAAAGGTTTTGACTCTGGAATACGTTCCAGGTTTCTCTCTTTGCTTTGTTCCTCCTTTTCTTTCAATAAATACTTTCATTCAATTAATCCTGCTTAAGATTCCATTACCTTAATAAACAGGAATAAAGATCAACCAGTTGGATATGATAGATTCACGGGGTTATAGCCGATCCCGAATTGCATCTCGTGCCATAGAAGCCTATTTAATTCAGGTGAGTTAGTTAATTTTGCACTCATTCTGAAATCTTTTGGATAGATGCTAATCTGATGGGTTAGATGTTATTCCTTTGTATCTGATACTCTTTTCCTGGCCTTACCTTGTGCAGATACTGAAGACTGGTTTTTTCCATGCTGATCCACATCCAGGGAATCTTGCAATTGATGTTGACGAAGCTTTAATCTATTATGATTTTGGTATGATGGGAGACATCAAGAGTTTCACAAGAGAGAGATTACTGGGGCTTTTTTATTCTGTCTACGAAAAGGATGCAAAAAAGGTCAGGCTAGTGTTTCTTTTTTGTAGTAGCACAATTAGGAACCAAATGCATTGTGCTACAGTAGTCTTAGTACAAGCTGGTGCGAATATACCTGCTACCGTTAGGATCCCTGCACACACTATATTTTCTTCAAATTTATTGAAATTCTTTGCTTTTTGTGAGTGTTGTTATCCTGCTGTCTCCATCAAGAGGTATGCTTAGGTGCTTCATTCTTTCAGGTTTAATACAGTCATAGCTTGGTCCAAATGTAATTTATATAATCAACTAAACATTTGAGGTCAAAATTCTTTCTAAGCTAAACCCAAAATAAATACTCTTGTATGATTGTGTCATCTCAAGTAGAAAACATTCTCCTTCCATTTTCAACAATTGACAATATAGTAATTCTCTGAAACAATTAATCAAAAAGATTCCCAGTAATATGGTTTCAGCTTCATATGTTTAGTTGAAGGAATCCGTTGCTCATAAGGATTAACGCCTTCCTGGAATGATGTAACAGTAAAGTACTATTTTCATAAACATGAACATAATTTCCATTCTGGGAGAGCCTGCTACATGAACTCATTAATTCTAAATTACTTACAATACTAGAGAGAATCGTAAAGTTGTTGTATTTAGGGTAAGTTGTGCAGTGAAGGTTGATTTAGAAGTGATTAGATATATTCTTTTAAAAAGTTACTACTCAAAATTTCTATGACTTGTGTAGTTAGTTGTTTTCAGTTTTTGACTCTCTCGGCAAGCAGTTCTTTTTTTTTTTTTTTTTTGATAACCAAGAAATCCGTCTGTGACCCGCCCTTTGGACCAATCACAGTCTTCTAAACTCAGTGGATAATGGGCCCGCCCCTCTCGGTGAGCAATTCTTATAAGACAACCAACCTTTTTGCTCATGCTCCACTTGTATTTACCACCTGTCGCCTGCCTCAAAGCAAGACAAATATTGATTGTAAATTCCTTCCACTTGTGATCATTGTTGCGGCATTTAAACTCAGAAGAAACAATCTAATCCATCTCTTAGTATCTGGCAGCCAGAAGCATTATTGTGCTTTGCATTAAAATATTTTGGAGTACAGAGAGCTAATTCTTTGTGTATATTAATAAGATAAATATTATGTCTACACAGGTTATGCAAGGGCTTATTGATCTGGAAGCACTTCAGCCTACAGGAGACATGTCAGCTGTATGTTACATATCCTGACCTCAAAACCCTGCAAAGAAAAGGAAGAAAATCTCCAATGAATTTAAGGCCTTATCTAAGACTAGCTATCTATTGACTTACATCTTTTTGTTTTTCTTAGGTGAGGCGATCTATTCAGTTTTTCTTGGATAACTTGTTGAACCAAAGACCAGATCAGCAGCAGACTTTGGCTGCAATTGGTGAGGTATGCAGAATTTGCAATTTTCTGTAAAAAATAGCTAAGTTTATCAGTAATTTTGGTATCTTTTAGGATATTGAGGAGAATAAATATGTGGTGGACCATATTTGATTCAAATATTTGTATGATACACTTGTTTAAGGAGGTGTTTATGAAGATTGGCCGTAGTGTCTCATGGCTGCCATGTTTTCTTGAAACTCACCTTGCCAAGATCCTAAATTGTCTTTTGGAAAGTCTATATTACAATATTGAAAATTGATTTAGGAAATTAGACTGATATATTTCATTTTTTTTTATAAATGTGTACGGATTTGCTTTTCAATATCTTCTTAACTCTGCCATGGAACTAAAGGTTATCGTAATGGCTGAAGAAATCCGTAATCTCAAGCCCCATGCATACTTCTTTGCATTTTTCTTCGTCCATCCTTAATATAACAGTATATTACTCGTGAAGAACTTGAGAGGTTGTTGATAACTGTCAAGGATTAGAGAACTTAAGAGGTGGCTAGTATTATGGAATCTAGTTTTCCAACTGTTAGCTGCAAACAAACTAACAAATAAGCAAAAGAAATAAGGCATGTGGGCTTTAATATTAATGATTCTGAATCATCAGCTTAAGAAATGAATCTTGGGCCTAACTCAACCCGAAAACCTAGCTCATGAGGGGAGGATTGCCCAAAGACCATATAAGTCGATCAAGGACCCCTTATCCCACTAATGTGGGACGCCAACGTAGAGGAAGTGCCGTAGTCTGTTAAATTAGCTTCTCACTGTGTGTTGAAACCACATTCGCTATACTTTTCAACTGACTTGAAAAAACTTGTACTCAAACAATTGCACTGCAGTTACAATACTGAAATTTAAAGTAGAAAGTTAGTTTCACTTCAAACTATCTTTTTGCGTGTTTCGCAATGTAACAAGAGGAAGATAATGCAGGATTTGTTTGCTATAGCAACTGATCAACCATTCCGTTTTCCTTCCACTTTTACATTTGTGATCAGGGCATTTTCCACACTAGAAGGTGCAATCTCTCTCTCTTTCTCCCTCCCCCTCTTTCTCATTCTGAAAGGCAAGGGAACATCCTGTAGTTAAATATAAATGTCAAGATCTTGACTTTTAACAGTCTAGACTCTTGATATTAATTCCCTTTTTGTCAGTTCGCATTTTTGTGGCTATGATGTTAAATCCACTTATAGATCACTGAACTGAGTGGTTCCATCTCTTGTTGCATTCTTGCAGGAATTGGCTATATATTGGATCCTGATTTCTCCTTCCCTAAGATTGCAGCACCATATGCACAGGTTGAAAGACAACTAGCCCGTCTGACAATCAAATCTTTGCCCCTAATGCTCTAAAGTTATTCAATCTGCCCTGCAGGAGCTCTTGGACTTGAGACAGCAGCAGCGCAGTGGTCCACAACTTGTTCAGGAAATAAGGAAACAGGCTAATGATGTACCGTATCAAACCTTTGCTTAACAATTTCTAGTTTTAAGATCCGATCAAATAAGCACGACTGATGTATATACCATCTAATGTGAAATTCTTCCAGGCACGGACATCCACCATTTCCATGCCTTACAGAGTTCAGCAGATAGAAGAGATCGTTAAACAGCTTGAGTCCGGAGATCTGAAACTCAGAGTTCGGGTCCTCGAGGTAATTAGTCTCATGCAGATCATTTCTCACTTTCTAATACTTCTCAGAAAATTTGTCTCATACAAATCATTTCGCTTTCTTATACTTCTTGAAATTGTGATCTTTTCAAGTCCGAGAGAGCAGCTCGAAAAGCTACAATTCTTCAAATGGCAACCATGTACACAGTTATAGGGGGCACCCTCCTAAACCTTGGTGTCACTTTTACCAGTCAAGGCAGTCAAATGTTTGCAAATGGATCTTTTATTGGTGCAGGTGAGTTTTTAAGGACTATCTTCAGGTTTGATGAATTTGAATTGCACTTGTTTTTGCTGCCAAAAATTGACCTTATCTTTCTGTATGCAGGTGTTTTCCTGACTCTCTTGCTTAGGTCTATGCAAAGAGTGAACAAACTTGATAAATTTGAGAAAATGATTTAAGCCATTATACATTCCCTTCTCCCCCACACTTTTTTTTTGGCTTCATTCTCACTTTTTTATTTTTATTATTTTTGTGGGGGAGAGAAGGAGGGGCCAGGGAGGTTGAAATGTGACCTCTTGCAATATTTAGGAACCAATTTTATTATGTGGTGCAAGGAAAAGGGATAATAATGTTCCTCATATTTGTAATTATGTTCATATTTTTGTATAGCAATAAAATTTATGCTTCAAATTAAGAAATGCATGTATACAAGTATATTGCCAATTACTCTCTCTCTCTCTTTATCTCTCCTGAATTACTCAATGATCCCAATGTATGTTTTTCTATTTTTTAGTTAGTGTAGGTTGGGTAGGGGGATGTGAAAATTATTAGATCAAACAGCTGTAAGTTTTCAAGGATGCCTTGTATTGAACCACTTTGCACTGATGCACAGAAATGGTAACAAAAACTTGCTATGGTTAATACAAAATGACCTTTTGCAATACCAAAAGATGTTGAAGGCTCTGAATAAATAGACTTGCAAAATTTCATATACAGACAATTGAACTATGATCCTACTCAAATGAAATTCCTTTCGTCTCATTTATGATTTATTCGTTCACGAGCAAAAGAAGATCCCTGTTATAAAATTGGGTCATAAAACCTAAGGTACAGTTATACAAGCTATAATGGAGGAGAATGTCCCACACAATGAAAAAGACAATCTAAGTGCAGCACTGATTCTGAGTACAAATGCAGCAACAGCTTATTAGAAGGTAAAGAATCTGAACCAAGCAAACATTTGACAAGATAAAAACCAATGGAATGACAAAGTTCAAGTGTTTGCTTCAATAAACTTGCTTTATCATATCATATGAATAAAGGAGGGCAACAATTTGTAGATCCTCCTTAAGAGGGATCAAGCCCACGCGAACTTCTTTACAGACATTATGAATCAGTTTTTCATGATTAATCTATCTATTGTCAGTATCTAGCAGCCTTCCAGATATCATGGTAGTGTATGTGGCACTATTTGGTCCCAAACCTTCTTTTAAGATGATATTGTATATCATTTCAGCTCTCTCAGTTTGACCTGCATTAAGCAGCCCAACAATCAAGTGACTGTGAGTATCGTAAGTTTGGACGAATACCTCAGTTTTGCGATTCCTCGTATAGGGTAAAGGCCTTTTCAATCTCAGAGTGTTTAACAAAATAACAGATGAGAGCGCTTCTTAGAATGAAACATCAGCAACCAGATTCTTGCCATGAAGTTCTGAAATAACTTCAGCTGCTTCTAGCATTTTTCCATTCACCAAGAGACCACGAAGGAGGACAACATAGGCCTCCCACGATTCCAAAATCCCCAGAGCAAGCATACTTAAAAATACCCCAAAGACGTGGCTTACCTAACCACTTTTACAGTTCGCACTGATCAAAGCACTATAAACTTCTTTGTTGGGCTTAAACCCATGATGCAGCATCTGCAATAAATATCTTTCCGCATTTTGCAACTGCCCTTTTCGACAATATCCAATGATAAAGGGTTCATAAGTACCCTGGTCAGGGTTTAGGCCTTTATCCAGCATTTCAACCAAGCAACTTTGAGCAGCTTTCATCTTCCGCGTCTCGCAGAGACCCTTTATAAGAATATTGTAATGGGGAGTAGCTGGCACAATCCCATGCTTATGCATTGCCTCCACAACCCCCCTCAACTTCAGTAAGTGGCCTTTACCAGGATAATTCATCAATAAAGTTCTCCACGTATGAGCATTTCGCTTCCCTTTCTTCATTATCAAGTTTGGAAGAGAAGACATAGCCGTGTTCGGATCCTTATTGCGGCAGAGACAATCAGTTATCATACAATAGGTTGACTCAACAGAGGCCAGATTTTTCTTCTTCATTTCTTCAAGAAGCTCCAAAGCAGTGGCAACATTACCCCATTGACAATGTCCCTCAATCAACAAGGCATAAGTTGTTGAACCAGGCTTGATACCTTTACTAGTCATCTCATCCACAAGTTCATTTGCCTTCTCCATCTTACCACACTTGCAGAGCACACGAAGAAGCGTATTGCACAGGGCTAAAGTAATGCCTTTAGCATCTTTAATTTTAAAAGCCTCATTCACATCATCATGTCTCAAGTAACAATCAAGTAAAGCTTCATAAACCATTGCATCAGGCTTCACTCCCATCTCAGACATCTCAGCTAATACCATTATTGCCTCTCTAAATCTATTCGCAGCACAAAGCCCATCAATAAATGTGGCATAAAAATATCGATTAGGGAGTAACGACTTGGAAAGCATGCTCTTTTTAACCTCAATTGCCTCATCCACATACCCAGCTCTAAACAAACCCTTCATCAAAAACTTGTAGGTAAAATTACTTGAACAAAGACCCTTCTCTTCCATCTCAGCCAATACTTCCTTGGCATCACTAACATTCCCCTCTCTACAATGAGCATCCGCCATACTAGTATACGTAAGGGCATTAAACGTAATATTTGCTTCACGCATTGCATCACAAACTCGCCAAAACAATCTGAAGTTACCATCTTTCAACAGATCCGTCAACAAACGATTACAATACAACAAGCTAGGCATACAATCAAGATCATTACAATGAGCAAAAAGAACACTAGCAGCTTCAAACAAATACCCTTTCTCCCTATACTTATCCATCAACAACCCAAATACCACATGATCAAATTTTCTCGATTCATCAAACTTTTCACGACAATTATCAATAGATTTCAAAACATCCAAAGGGGGCAAACCAAACCTGATTACATTTTCAAGAACAGAATTAGCAGGACTATACAAATTGTTACTACATAAACGAGCAGCTAAAAATGAGTGAATTTCCAAATCTGATTGAATACCCACTTTGTGTTTTGACCATTGAAAGAAACTGAGGAGGCGTTCAAGATGATTACTCAATTGATCTTGATGAAGAACAGACCGAACCACATATGGGTTTAGCTTATTTTTTAAGCTTGCCAATTTAATAAGGCTTTTCCATTTCTTGTTTTTGAGAATTTCAGTGAGTTCTTGAACCAAGATTAGGTTGTTCTGAGGAAGATGAGAATTGAAGTAATGTCTGTGAAATGTAGCTTGTTCAATACATCTTGTGATTCTTCCATGAAAAATCCTCCACATAGTTTTCTGGCGATTTTTCAGTGGCTATGGAGGATTTGGAAGATGGGGTTTTTGTTTTATACTCTGTTTTTCCCTTTTCAGCTAAAAACAGAATGCAACAAAACATCAACAATGGCGAATGGAGTAGGTTGGCTAGAACTAGGAAGAAGAAGTCAAATGTTATTGAACCCTAGAATTGCAATTCCGAATCGGTTAAAAGTTTGGGTTTCAAAAAGTTGTTTTTTATTTTTTGGTTGCATCTTTGGATAAAAATCAATCCAATTGAAAAAGGGAAAATTTTCAAAACAACAATATTTTAGCTTTTAATGGGACTCCTTAACAATAGTTTCACTATTTATTTAAAATGTCAATATTTTAGTTTGTTAAGAATTGAGTTATGTATTTATTTTATTTTGATTAATTTGAAAGAATACAAATAATTAATAACTGAATAGAGAAAATCATGGAACAAAAAATTTCAAAAAAGGTAATTTTTTTTTAAAATTTAACATCAATTACGTTTTTGAAAGAGCATATATTGCCATTTTACTTTCTAGCGTTTTTTTCTTTGTTCTTAAGAATTTCATTTTTTTTGGTAAACAGTAGTTTGTATTTTATATCTTATATGAGTGGAAGTGTTGGAAAATTTCTAATGCCCTCTGTTTTGGATATTTAAATGTTTGAACTTCTTTGAATATGTGTTCATCCGAAATGTATTCGAATACCTAATGATATGTATAACTAATTTAAAATACAAAAAATGTTGGTATTGATTTATTATGAATACAACTCTTTGGCATTCTAGTTCAAGTACAAAAATAAAGGCAGTTGTGTAGTATATACCAAAATATAAATACAAATTAGTTGTAGATCGAAATGATATTGAAAAATACAGTTGCGATGAATACATATATAATACATAGAATAAGTTTATTCAAAATAAATTGTATTATTATTTCAATATCCAATTTTGTTATATTATTATTTCACTTTAAATTTGCAGAAAGTATTTTCTAGCTTAGTTTTTATTTCAAATATCAGGTTGTATTTCAATATCATTTTGTATATCAAAAGCAGAATGAATACCAATAATTTTGTATTCCCCTTCTTGTGATGTATTCGTCGCACAATTTTATATATTATGTATTCATAAAAATTATATTGCTTTAGCCAAATAAAATACAAAATATGTCTTACTAAGTTTGTATTTAAATTTTGTAGCCTTCTTCTTTGACTGTCTTTCTTCTTCTTCTTCATCTACTATGTTCTTTTTCCAAAATTTTCCATCAAAACCGAATCTGAATCCGTATTCACTTGTGCATTAGTAACCCTATAAGCAAAATTCAAAATTATTAAATATGAAATAGTATAAAAAAAATCAAACAATATATGATGTATGTGTGCTAATGTAGTTACTACAATCTACTAAAATCTCAAATATGAAGACAAAATTTTTGATAATTTGAATTTCGAAATTATCAAAAAATTAGAATGTATTAAATATCAAACAAAATAAACATACGTATGAATTTCTAGATTCTCCAAAAATCTGAAAAATTAAAAGAAAATCACAAAAAAAATTGAAAAAACTGAAAATCATAACTATTTGATGAATAACTAAACAAAATCACATAAAAATTGAAAAAATTCGAACTGAAAAATCCGTAATAATATAGAATCGGTGATTTAAACATCAAATCAAAAATGGATAATGGAAATTACTTTGCCAATCGATAAATCTGCTTGAATTAATAAATAGATTTCATTTAACAATAAAGAAGATTTCTTAATGAACAACAATTTATCACCTTGAAGAAAGATAAACTTGAAACGTGAAAGGTGGGGAAGAAACGTGAAAAGTGGGGAAGAAACGTGAATGGAGTTGAAAAAGGTTAATGTGTATTGGTTTAATTTTTTTCTTTAAACGGTTATTGGTATATAATTTGGTCCAATATAGGACTCTTTCCATAAATAAAATTAATTTTAAATACTAAAATCTGAATACATATTATTTTATAAAAATATTGTCATTCTGCCATTTTAAATAAATATTTTAAAGTGTTGTTATTTTGACTAATTATGTTAGATATTATGACTTAATTGGTAATTTTCCCATTGAGGAATCCAACTAAATCATTAAATAAATAGATTTTATTCGGGTTTGAATTTGATTTGGTTTTAGATTTTTAGAAACGGATAGTATTTGGTTTGATTTTGATTTTGTTAAAGAAAATTGAAGAAATAATCGAACTGAATCGATAAATCATATATTTATATTTTATTATTATACATGCATAATATATTGTTTTTAAAAACAACTTTAAATATCTTATATATAGTTTCAACAATTTTTATTTATAGTTTATTTATGAAAAAAGGACAAATATACCCCGAACTATCGTAAATGGTATGCAAATTTCATCTGTCATACTTTTGGGGCATTGGTGCCCCTGCCGTCCAAAAGCTAGAGCATGTATGCCCTTTACTCTAACGTAAGACTAAATAGGGACACGTGACACAATCTTATCCGTCGATCCGATATTTAATAAATGTCAGGTCAGTGGATAAGATTGTGACACGTGTATGTCTGTTAGTATAAATGGTATATATGTTCTAGTTTATGGACGACAGGGGCACCAATATCCAAAAGTATGACGGATGGTATCTGCATACCATTTACGATAGTTTGGGGATATATTTGTCCTTTTTCCCTTTATTTATTAAAGCAAAAACAATCAAGACGAGAACATTTATCTTATTGGTTTATATATATAATATAAGTGTCTATGGCAATTCTTGGTGGGACTAGGAATGTTAGAGTCTCTTTCTTCTATGTCAAAATGGAGAATTTACAAGCTTTATTCACACTAAATTTAGTGCTCTAAAGTTCTGTAATATTAGTCGTTCTAATTATTTTTCGTTTTAAATGAATTGTCGTCTTTTTCCCTCTTTTGAATGAATCATTTTTTGAATTTTGTGTATGGTTAATAACCAAATAACTAAATTGAAACCATTAACAACCACACCGAGAAATATTTATTGTATTTGGTTTGATTTGGTTTGATTTTGATAATTTAAAAGCCAATTAAATTGATTTGGTTTTGATTTTTAGTTTTCTATCAATAGCAGACCCGTGAATGCCCCCAGTTGCAAAGATATTACTCCCTCCGTCCTGATTTCTGAACTATTGGTAGTCTTACAAACAACCCTTTACTTGACTAACTGAATTTCGAAACAACTCCGATCTTGCAATATGAGTGAAATACACCCCTGAATCATCGTCAAGTTTAGGGATGTTTTGAACACTTCTTAGTTCTCCCGACTTATTATTAAGAGTCTCATTCTCTTACAAGAGTTTGAGTCACTTGTTATGTCATGTCGCAGATCGAGGGTACATGGGGATGTATCTAAGTTTAGTTAGTGAAGTAGAGGGATGCTTTTAAAGTTGTCAATAGTTTGGGGACGAAACTAATAATTTGCATTAAATTCAGAAGTGTTTTCAATACTTCTTTCAAAAAATGATGATAGACTTTTACATTATGTAATCTTAGTTAAATGTGCGTAGTTCTTCAGTAAATCCTGTAATTTTAAAATGGCCACGTAAAATAGTGAAATTGGAAATTTTACCAAATATATATAAAAATATATGTATATGTATTTTATGGGACAGACTAAAAAAGGGGGAAAGGAAGACAGGGACAAAAGGAGTAGCAATATATTTTATTTATTTTTTGATTTTCCACCCGATATTTGGAGCTCACATTGGAGCTCTGACTAAATTTGGATTGCGCACTGCAGGGCTCATTCGCGGTAGAACTCCCAACAGGATTTTGGGAGTAGCAATATCAATATCATACCAAATGAACATGAAAAAATGGTATCGCCTTTAAAATTGTATCATGCTAATCAAATTTGTAAAAAATAATGAATTTAACATTTCTCCAAAGTGTTGCATTTATATTAATTTCATACTTACATTATTTCTAATTTACATTATCTCTAAACTTTATCTTTCAAGTGTTTTTTCTTCATCTTTTTTTGCCTGGTACCCACGAACCCAACCAAATCTGAATTCACACAGAAAAATCTCGCATTAGGGGTAAAACTCTTACCCCTTAACAAAGACGACTTTGTACCAAGTGTTACACGCTCCTAAACTATTAAGTACATTTTACTAATTTCATACTTAAACTATACCTAATTTACATTACTCATTGAACTATACCTTCGAGGTGCTAAACCCATCCTTGCTCATTGTATGCTATGCAAAGTACATTTAAGCGCCCAAAAAGCTTTCAAAAATGTCAAATAGCATAACACGTTTTATTTAATGCTCCAGGAGTACAAGTAATCAAATTCAGATTTTTGAAGCTTTTAAATGAACTTTCTACCCAATGATGAATAGGATTCACAAGTATCAGGCAACTCTTGTTATGAAAAATACGTCGCATGTGGGGGCCGAGGATGCTATGAACCTTGTTCTTGGTATAGAAGCTTCAAAACACAGGGAATATCAGAAGTGACATCTTATACATTGCAAATTGCAAGAACTGAGGCAAGCAAATTGTCCAAGTAGAGCTAATAAAACATAATAATCCTTTGCCTGGGAGATAAAAGGGAATCCAATCAAACCAATTCTATGCCTGCTTCTCGGACTGAATCGATAACTGCTTTGACCTTTCCATGGTATCTTTGTTCTTTCTTAAAGAAAACAGATATGGCAGGAACTCCTTTAGCCTGCAACCGCTCTCCCAACAACTTACCTATTTTTGCTGCAGCAGCAACGTCTCTAGTATTTTCTTTTGATTCTACCATGGCAAGCCTT